CTCAACATACTCTCAAAGCCAAAATTTCACTTTCTTGGATTGAAATGGAATGCTTTGGGTGTGGTTCTTCATTTTAACCTTTATAGGCATAAAAATCCCTCTATTTGGCTTGTATCGAGGTTGTGATGACTTTGTGGGGATGTGATTAATTATGGCTTTGAAACTTTCTGAAATTCTGGATATGCCTGCAACAAAACCACAGGAAAAGAATATTAATGTGTATGTTAGAAATGCAAGTGCATATACTTATGCAAAAGGCAAAAGGAGAAGTCAAATTTCGGGTTTCAACACTACATAAGGTAAGTTGGGGTAAATAAGGAAAATATTTTGAGGGATAGTTTATTAGAAAATGGGAAATTTGGGAGAAGGAAATTATTATGCATTCTACGTGAAATTGTGGGAAGAAAGCTGATAAAGAGGCTAGGGAAATGAAGGAGAAACATAGGAAGAGCATCATTGCTAGAGGTTGAAGAGATCATTGTTAGAGAAATTATAAGGTAAGGGTGGGTAATGGTTCTCAATTATGATTGATATGAGGAAGTGTAGATATAGGGTTTTAGTTATCTTTGATTGATAATGAATTTTTGTGAATATTGATAAGTTGGTAAAATCTTTGATGAATTGGTGAAATATTGATCTCGACGTTAGGTGCATATGTTGTATTGTGAAATCTTTCATGATGTTTTTGCTGTAAGTTGAACTGTTATTGATGTATTCCATGAATAATATCGGATTTGATAGGAAAATAATGGTTAGGGATGATGAATTTGATGTTATGATTGTAATGTAATGTGAACCCATGATCACACATGATGATAGATGGAATTAGGATGTTAAAACAATAGAAAATTGGATTATTGTGTTATATTTTTGTAAGATAAGATTATGCTATGTAAAATGGTGTTTAGATGCTGAAACACTGTGATTTTTGGAAAATGCACTGTGGCAATCGATTGTCACAGGACTACAATTGGTTGCATCAGTGGAAAATTGGAGACAATGGCAAAATCAAGGTGGTGCAATCGATTGTCGTTGAAAATTTTTTGAAAAATAATTTTGTTTTTGAGTTATGATATGTCTTGACGTTTTACCTCATAACTTTTGATCTGTATATGCAAATGACGTGTCGTTTGAAGCGTTGAAAAGATAACGCTCAGAGATATAACGTGGTAGTGATAGGTTGGATGTTTGATTATTGTTTTATGTGACTACTATATAGATAAATGTATTTATTCTTATATTCAATTGATGTATTGTTGCATTGTTGAAATGGATTTTACCGATGATTGTACGGTTATTTGGTGCTGCTATGATGTAGTTGTTATGATGTTGATGTGGTGATGAACATGGATATTAAGTTGTGTTAACTATGGTTTGTTATTGATTGTGTTTTATGTTAATATGAAGGTGCTTATATGTGAATGATGAAATAAATATTGGGTAGTAATAACGTTGTTATGTCGTTGTTGCTATGATGATATTATTGAGATAAATTAGGTTGTTGTTGTGTTGATGTAGGCATACACAGTCATAAGTGGGCTAATGTGTATGTGTTATTGATGTTATTGTTATTGCATGTTGTAAATCATGCATCCATGTTGTCGAAACTTCAGTTCTAATTATGTTGTGACCTCAATCCTATGGTGACGAATCAGGTGCGAGTATCTAATTCCTATGATGGGGAATTAGTGAAGTGTTACCTATCTTTTACTTATGTCTATTGTAATTTATTATCCTTACTCACTCATTTTGTTTAAATGTTGCCTTTACATGGGTGACGCGCATGTACTCAAGAGTAGACTCTATGGAAGTAAGTAGAAATTAGCCATTGGAGACACTCTTTAGTTTATCTTTTTGTGTAGTGGTTTCTTCTCTGATCTTGTAATATCGGTTGGGGTTTAAATTTGATTTCCTAAACTATTATGTTGTTTATTTTTATAGCAGTTGCTAATGAAGTTGTTGAGATATTTTAAGATGTTTTGAGTTGAGTGTTAACAACACTTTTGTCGATGTTATCAAAGTTGGAGTTTAAGACTCAAAGTATATTTTACAGTTAAATTTCTTGATGATGATTGCGCTGCAGTGTTCTTAGATGATTATTAATGTCATGTAAACATCATGTGTATGTACGTTTGAAAAGTTAAATTTTTGTTGAACCCGTGTTACGGAGCATGATAGTTATGTTTTTATGAAGTGTGACGCCCTTGTGTTGTGTCTTTAATTAATTTATTCGTTAATTATATGTGGGGTGTAGAAGGGTGTTACATGTTTCATGTTTCTCAATTGAAGAGATACATTTCAGATACACATCTCATGTGATCCAAGTGAACTATGTGCAGGTGAGAGAGAACCTGATTGTTAAGACATCACCCATGCGGATAGAGAATACGTAGGCATGAGGGTTCGACTCCTTAGCGAGCAGACTAATTCAAAACTTATTTTTCCCCTTTCGCAAGTAACCTTTAGATAATAACACTCATCCGCGCAATGAATAATCAAAATGGTTCCGGTTGAGTATAACGAATATGAGAGATGCTAATATCTTCCCCCTCGCATAACTGGATTCCTTACGCATTTCTTTTTTCCAAGGGTTTTATCGATACTTTCCATTTCTTTTTGTAATAAATAAAGTTCGGTGGTAACTTTGTTGTATCTTCGAGCGTGCAATCCGTTCGAATGTTTTTCGTATCGTGACACTCTTATACAACCACTTTACAATAGTAGAGTATTTCCTGTTTATAGATGAGATTATTTGTACATCAAGTAATCTCTAACTAACTAACAAAATAAATGTCAAGTTTAACTCTATCGAGGTTAACTTCTTCAACAACTATCTACTTAGACTACTATAGGCATCTTTAACACAAAGAATTGCATATTTAACATTCACAAGTATAGTTAAATTTTCAATCTTTGTAGGAGTTGATTGTTCCCGTGCAAAATTCTTCAGGTGATCCAATTAGGTTGTTCCCGCACAAAATTCTACAAACACAAAATGCCACAAATTAGTCTAAACCATGATGTATCCGAATTAAAAAGTACGATAATCACAAAAATAAATCAACAAAATAAA